CTGAACATAATCTGGGAATGGGCTTCCGCTAGCAAACAAAGCTCTACAATCGGTCCATTTCATAGCTTCCTCAAATGTACATTCAGCTTGACTGGAAGGATTAGACAGTGGAAAGATGATCGGATTCTGATTCAATTGGGCCATTTTTCTGACAATAGACTCATCGAAGATTCCTCGGATAGTGGATAATCCCATCAAGATTGTAGGCTTAACATATTCAACCACTTCTGGAAGAGTTTTGTATTGTTTTCCCTCATTGTCATCACGGGCAAAGTAGACTTTGTGGTCAGCCAACTTATCACCTCTATCGGTCGTGATCAGACCCTAGAGAAATTAGCTTTTGATTCCAAGCAAGAATGGCAGAGTGTATACCTTGGTATCAACAAACCAAAAGCAACGACGAGCCTCATCTTCAGTCAATCCCTCTTTTCGGAAGAATTCCACAATTTGTTGAGCAACACCTACACCAGCACTACCTGCACCCATGAAAACAGCTCTCTGGTCTTTGACAGGAATACCTGTTCGACGTAAAGCATTAATGATACCTGCTAAAATGACCGCGCCAGTACCTTGAATATCATCATTGAAACAAGGATACCTGTTTTGGTATTTTGCGAGAGATGGGAAAGGATTCTTGAAATCCTCATATTGAACAATGATCCTGTTCATGAATTAGTCAATTGTTCTGTCCGCCGGAATCATTTGAAGCATACCCAGGCCACATCTTGTTTAAAGCCACCATCAACTCCTCCATGAACTCAGCTTCTTCTTTGGTAGAAACTCTCTTCATACGGTTTCCCATATATAATGGATCTTTAAGAAACTTTTCATTGTTGGTACCAAGATCCAGGGTAATTGGTAAGGTCTTGGAAGGATGAATACCAGCACAACCGGTATATAATGCCAATTTACCAACTGGAATACCCATACCATTAACACCCAGATCACCCAAACCAAGAATGCGAGAACCGTCAGTAACAACCGTCATCTCAACTTCTGAATGACGCCAATTGCCGAGGACTTCTTCTAGATTTCCTCGATCATGGTAGGAGAGATATAAACCTAATTCTGTCAGTTTTTGACGTTGGAGTTTGGGCAGGATAGAAAATACCTTCGGGTTGTTGATAGATCTCTGACCATCTCAAACATGCTTCTCCAACCGTTGGTGTATATATCAAAGGCGTGATGTCCTACACACAATTGTCAGTGCCAATTTCAATCATTTTACTTGTATCTCATTCCCTCACCCCCTCCCCCCCTCACCCCCATAACATCAAAATAAAAACATACCGTCAAGTTCTCCTGCACCAATCGATAAAACAAATGCACATTATTATTTCTCAGATTACTGAGATACATATACTTTTCAATAGGAGACTTCTTGGCGTTTAATTGTTGAAGACCTTGTATCAAATCAGCATATTCTCTCCACAGAGACCACCCACCCTCTAGAATGGAGAACCAGATTAAGTTGATCCTCAAAAAGACTCACATCTTGTCGTCTGAAGCTTATGACTTTCTACATTAGGAGGAACGAGACCTAATGTTTTATTCTTTCTTCTCATTTCTATTGAATGCGAGGTATCGGGATATATACTATACGTATTCCATTGTTAGTATATTTCTTTCGTCATTGATATACCTACTAGGTATGTATAACCATCAAAACATCTCAAGTCCAACCTTCCCACCCAACTCCCTTCACAAAAACAAAAAGGAGAAAGAAGCTCGTGACTCACGGATGATTGAATTTGTTCATATTGACAATATTCTCCTGCGAATATCTCCGATCCAAAGTCGCAGTATTCGTCGCTGTAGAATCAACAATTGATTTATAGGATCTAGGTGTCTTCGTATTCAAGTGATGATTCGCAATCTCATCCAAATCTCGCACGTCTTCACCCTCTGGTTTTGTAGCCGCTCCGGAAGCTGTCGATTGGGAACGATTCATAATCATGGGGAAGGAGCATAGCCTTGTTCCACGGGTATGGCTATGGCTCAGAGTCTGAACCCTGGAAAATCGTAAGCCTCGGTACATTTCGTCCCTTTACCTAGGTATATTTGGTTCCAGATTTACAGAGTAATAAGAAATGATTGGAGTTTTCCTTGAGGATATCTTTGATAGGATGAGAAATGAATGGATTGGGTTATAGGGAAAAGGTCGAATTTCAACAAAATTGGCAGAAAAAAGTATGTATCGTAGGAAATTGAGATTTTGGGCAATAAGACGTGAATTGAGTGGGTCAATCGTGTGTATACGGGACAGAAAAGTCGATTTTTATGTCACTTTCCCTTCTCGCTCATCAACCCAAAACCTCAGCTTAAGCCATATCGGAAGGTTGAGGAAGGAACGACATGAAAATCTTCTGATATCAAATGCTCTTTTTCTTTTTCTGATTTCTTTTTTATCCAATATTACATATTCAAGTACATATATGCTTAAGTACCCAATCAAAATCTAATTATACCTTTACATTCTTCACCGGATTCCCTAGTCTTGTATTTTTTTGAGGGGAAGTCCGGGGATGAACATCATGTCATCCCAACAGAACTACTTTCGAGTATCGAGGGAGGCGCACGATGGTGTCAGAACATGTCAGAACAATGCAAGCCGTGTCTCAGCGTCCGAAGAAAAAGATTATCTTTACCTTTCTCTTCTGATCTTCGCTTTCTTCCATTCTGTTGAGTGTGCCGTGTCCGAGCTTTTAATGCATTTTGGGCGTATCCGAGGTCGGAGCTATTGCTTGCTGCTAGGTGATTATTCACTGCTGCATCAACCCGTTAACTCGTCAACTCATAGGTATATCAGCTAGAGCGGCTTGAGGTGCATCTCCCGCAGTGACATTCAGACCGTTCATCTGCACTCTGCTGTTCTCGGCATGAGAATTGAGGACCGTTTGTTGATTAAGTGTATTTCGCCATTCGACAAATTCATCAGATAGTATGCCACCATGTCCCTTTTCTTCAACCTTGAATACCTCAATGGCCATGGATTTTTCTCTCCTTCGAATCTTCCACACACCATCACCGATAATAGTTGCTTTCAAGACTGTCTTTGTTAGCCATGACAAGAATGAACAATGGATCCGACTTACATTGGAGAATCTGATTTGCGAAGTTGATACACATATCTCCATCCCATGAATTATTTCCTCCTCTCTTGACCATTCCAGGTATTTGGGCCGTGTTGATTCTTTCGACGCTTTGAAGAATTCCATCAGGACTTCGTTTCCCGACTATGATATGAGGAACTCCAAGCAAAAATGATTGGAGCCAGAATTTCAGAAGCTTTTTCTCAAAATTCTGCTCATCTCCTCTATGTCTAGGAGTCACGCTTGTTTTTAACTCAAGCCATTCCGTAGACTTTCCATCCTCAGACTTTGATCCCTTGTATACTGGACTCTTGTTAGATACGAATCATCAGGCTATAAGCTGTAAACATACTCCCGTCAACTTCTCCACCAATAACCAAAGCATTACTTCCAATTTTTGTTTTCACAATGGAACAATATTGAGCATGGTTATTGACAATCTCACTATCTCGATTTTCGATGTAATCTCGAGACGTTTCCGGCCACGGAGTGGGCATAAGACATAAAGTTTCGAACTTATATCCTATCTAAAGTCAATGAAGGTTACGAACATCCATCCAAGATACCTCAGACCTACCCCAAAAACTCATCATATCTCCAGAAGGTCTTCCTGGTTGAGGTCGCTGTCGTGCATCTTGTCTAGCTCTGGTCATGACTTTATATTGGTGATCTTCCTCGACAAAGCTATACAAGTCAGCTTGGTGCCCACACGACAATAGTTTATCACCAAGCATACATTGTCCCCTTCACCTCGATTAGTCCCGAAAATCTGAAACCCGTACCCATTACTCAACTCACCTCAAAACACGTGGCATTCATCTGGAACCCATCTCTAGAGTCAAACAAACTCGCAATAATCTATATCCGTTCTCATTAGTGTTTTCCTTGCTTATTTCTCCTAAATATAGACGAACTTTGGTCATCATCCCCCTCCACGTAATAATATCTGCCTCGATCTTGACATTTGTCGTTTTCTCTTTCTCCATTAATGCCCTCAATAAAGATTCCAGATGCTCATCCTTTGAATCATCATGTTTACGGAATGTTTCAAATCCGCGATTCAGATCCGTCCCTATATCAGGCGGATAATACCAGCGAATCGAAGAATCATCTAAATGAAACTCGTGATTATCATCATAAGAAAAATGGGCAATTTCCTGTTCTATTCGTTAGTCCAAAAAAGAGAATTGGTGGTTGATGAGGAACGATATACCTGTGGTCTGGAAATTGCAGTATTGCCAGCATCACGAGTTCTCTCAAATTGATTTAAAGGGAGAGTATTAAATACATGGACTTGAGGATGTGTTTGATTATTAGTATTCATGATGAAGTGATAATCTAGGTCTGGTGGTTGATAACGTTTTAATAGGAAGTTAGATGACCTATGAATATAGAAATTCCACGAATAAGAAGACTCGAGAAATCAGAAATCGTGATGTTAACAATTACTAGGTAGGTTGTCAGGTGCTGGCTCGAAAGAGAATACGTCTAGACATTAAAATCGCTTGAGACAAGGCAATCAATGTGGCAAGGCCAAAAAGTGTACCTAGGAGCCTAGGTAGCTAGCTCTATAGAGTAGATGGGATGGTTTCGTCTGATTTGTCTAGATGATCCCTGTTCATGCTCGTTCCCCGCTAATGCAATATTTACAGCCTTACAACAATCCAATGTTTACCCATAGCTCTTGGTTCTGTGAGATTCATATGCGACAAGTGGTTACTGGGAAATTTGGTTATTACAGTACAATACCAGCATCCATAAATATACTCTTCTAAATATTGATATACGTTCTGTACCTTTGTCATTCCTTCAATTGGTTCTCTCTACTTCTGCACAACCAAATCCGCATCCGAAAACAAACCAAGACTTCCCCAAACCTACGAACCTACAGACGATTCATAGACCTAGGAACCAATTCACATCATCCAACATGCCCGAACGCCGCAATCCCACCAGCGCCAATGCTCCCATCCGCCCCTCCGTCCGACGCAATCTCTTTCCCTCCCATCTCCGCACCTCTCACACCGCATCCTCCACCACTCCTTCCCACTCCTACTCTCACACCACCCCCACCAACCCCGCCCCTCGCATCCTATCCCATCTCTCCCCCGTCGTCCAACCACTTCCTCAACTAGTACATCTGCCGAAACTCTTCGTCTGGACCACGCATCTACATTTCCTTCCCATTCCTCACACTCCAACGATCGCGATGCCAATTTCCATTCTTTCCCTCATAATGGACATGAAAGAAATGGAAGTCGGAACAATAGTACCCTGTCGTTCGATGGCACGACGGATATAGTAATGCGGGATAAAAATGGCGATTTTGACATTGGGAGTATGATGTTGGGAGGGGGAATAGATCCGGGAGGGGATTTATCATTTGGGGCTGATGATGAGGATATGGTTGGAGTTGAGGGAGAGGAAGAGAGTGAGTTTTTCTTTTTCTTTAGGTTTCTAGGAGAAGAAAGTGAAAGGAGGAGAGGGAAAGGCCTTTTTATGGAGAGAAATGCTAATGCAACCTCTGAAATAGGAGAAAGACAACGCCTAAATGATTCGATAAAACATCATCAACGAGATCGCAATCGTGCGCCGAGTGAACCCGCTGGTTAGTACGATTCTTGCCTAATATGTACTTCTTTGTACACTGGGTCCCACCAAATTCATACATAAAATCAGTATTGGAACTGCGCAAGGATGATACTAAAAAGATATCTAGAATTACTAGAAGCAGTACGGAATAGTCTACGCGCGAAGACGGCTGCCTTGTCAGATGATAATTGGATGTTTGAATCGGAAAATGAAGGGGTTGTTCGATAAGCGTGGTTAAATTCTGCAGAACTCATGCTCGTAACAGAGATGCGATACAAATCTGCAAATAAGAGCATAGCAGCGACTTGTATTGGATATGTCATGCAGTAAACTGCGGGACTGACACGCTTGTAATACTTGAGGTATAGACAAATATGTTCAAAATGGCGTAAAGTTTAGACGGATGCATGGAATGGGAATTGGGATACCCAGGGTTGGTCCTTCAAATTGCGGTAGTTTTACGGAGTATTGGTATTGGTATCTATCTTTTTTCCTTCTTTGGAGTTGAGCAACTGTAGTTTGAGACCATCAATCACCCATTACTCCCCCATTCAACGTAAAGCCTCTGCTCTAATCAAGGCCCTCAGCCACTGGTGCGCTCCCCGACTGTCCAATCCTCCTAGCCTGCGGTTGCTGTGCTCCACCCCCCATCCCACCCCCAAACATGCTCCCCATCATATCCAACAATGGATTTCCCTGTCTCGGTCTCTGAATGCCAAAATACATTTCTCCCACGCCCGTCAACGCCTCCTCCCACATCTCCCCAGCTTCCTTCATCTGTCCCGCATATTTCTTCATCAACTGTTTGAAATCCAACGAATTTCCCTTCTGCACCGCTACCAACAACAATCCCAGAAAATTCAACAAAGGAATCGAAGGATAAATCTTAATATCCTCATTCGCGCCCCCCAATTCCTGCACCGTCAACCCCGCATTCGCCTCTCGCAAACGGGTCGTAAAAATCCCCAAACTCTTGCGCGCATCCCGCACATTCCCAACCAGTAGATAGGGCAACACAGCTCGACTCGCATACAGCGCCGCAGTATGACTATCATCCTCAAGATACCATTCATATTCCATCTTGGCCAGCACTTCCGCGGAATCCTTCGTGCCGAGTATTAAATGTCGTTCCGCATCATATACTTCTCCTTCCTCTGCAAGCAAACTTCCTATCACATGATGCAACTCCGGATCGCCGGCTGGATACGCAGAGGTTTTGCAACTCCACGCGATGGTTTCGGTGATGAAGCGCTTGCGACTTGGTTCCTCTGGGGAAAAGGCACGCAGGAGGGTGAAGAGTCGGCCTTTGGATGAGGAATCGCAGGTTAGGGATGAAGTGTTGTAGACTTCGAGGAGGAAGAGAGCGAGATCGCCGCCGGAACCGCCTTGAGCGGCTTGGAGCAGGGAGAGCGAAACGGAATAGAGAATGTCGGCTGCGGCGGGGTAGTTTTGGGATTTGATGTAGCGGGAGGCGACGACGCGGGTTTGTTGGTGCGCTTCGTAGTAGGTGCCTTCTGCAGTTCTGTGGGAGTGGTTAGTAGTGTGAGAGGAATGATGTTGGGTGAGGTGAGGTGAGGTGAGAGGGAAGAAGGGGAGTGGGTAAGAGGAAGGGAGCGAGGAGTTATGAATTCTTACTTTTCTTGCAAACGCGCAATGATCTTATCGATCTTTGCAGACATTATGCCGGTATGGAAAGTATCTCAGGACCTGCACGTAATTTGTAAGAAGTTTCCGATGTTAGATTGAAGTTCTGCGTGGTGCGTTTTGTTCTGCGACGAGGTGGTTAAAGTAGCACAAGCTTGAGAGGTGGTGGGATGAGATTCAAAGCTCGGAAGTTATTAAGCTGTGACGTGGTGGCGCGGCCGCTGCAGGGAAATTTATTATAGTGAGCCTTGAACCAAGTGGTAACAGAATGACAGTTTGATTGATTGAAAATCTGGGGGTATAAAACAGTTCATGATTTTAAACTAGTCTTTACATTTGTTTAGCGGATTTAAAAAATGGAGGCAGGAACGGGAGTTTTAAGCTCAAGGTTAGCTGTTCTTTTTACTTCTGTGTTTGCGATGAATGTGCTCTTGGTGAGCTGAACTCCTTTACACTGAACTTGAAGCTCGCCGAGAGTAGACCTACAAGAACATCACCAAAATGATTAAGCTACCTTGTAGACCTGCTCAAGGACTCAAAGAAATACTACCGATCCGATCAGATTTAATATTTTGACATCGTATCAATATGTATCGAGAACAATCTGATGGTACACTCCATTCACAACTTTACTAGGATTTCATTCAATATATACAAATCATCACAGTCAAAAAAGCTTCAGAAAAATTAGACAGATAAATAGTAAACTTGCTAATTCGAAAAAGCCAACGTATCATATGAAAATTTGGACATTTCGTCAATTTCTGAAGGTCGTAATTTCATTCCTGTCATTTATCACCTAATGAATATTGTGAAATTGTATCCCACTCAGATTGCCTTTCCCCCAGAGAGATAGATTCTCAGAATTATGAATGCGCAATTAGTAACGCTAGATTTCTGTTAGTATATTTCTGCCTTGAAAGCTAATGAAATGTACTTACAGGAGGAACTGGTGGACCTCCACCTGGTCTGTATTGTTGTTGACCAGGATAAGCACCACCTGGAGGAGGAGCGCCATATTGACCTTGTTGTTGAGGAGGGTATTGGCCCTGTTGTTGAGGAGGATATTGGCCTTGTTGTGGAGGATATCCACCAGGTTGTTGTCCATAGCCTTGAGGAGGGCCTGGAGGAGGGGCGTAACCCTGTTGTGGTTGTCCATATTGACCGCCGGGTGGTGGAGGACGGCTTCCTTGTTCATCCTTGGTGTCGTAGGAGGAATCAATGGCACCGACCAAAAGCTTCAATAACCACAAATCGGGAGTCAAGTCTGTTCCTGGGTTGGTTCGGGCCATTTCATCTTGTTCGGCTTCGAAGTTGGATGTACAATCGATCAAATCTCCGATGGTTCTGTCGTCATCGAGTTTCTTCAAGAATTCAGTAGCCTGCTTGTCATTGCCGACTTGTGCGAATTGATAAGAAATGGCTTGTTTTCCATATGGAGTACGTGCGAGCTCGGCTGAGGAGTTCTTCACAAGTTGGAAAACATCATCTTGGTTATCTGGTTGACCATCGGTGATAACGATAACCAAAACTGGCTTTTGAAGTGAGTTGGATCTGACCTTGCTCATGATCAATGGCTCTACAACCTTGTTTCTAAGTTGTGCACCCAATGGAGTCAAACCCTTGAATTGGACACGTTTGACAAGTTCCTCAACTTCTGGCTCAGATCGAATGTGGTTTCCTTGTACATCACTGTTGATGAAGCGCACCTCGATTCCATCGGCATCGAATAGAGATCCGGCGTATGCAGCTCTTCCTAATACGAGCTTCATGTCATCAATACGGGAACCATTCTCCTGGAAAATCATAGAACCACTGTCATCTTCACGGAGTCAGTATTTTATTGTATGTCGCTCAATTTTTTTGGTGAACATACCAACGAAGAGAATAATGTCGAATAAAGCAAGCTTTACAATATCAGCACCCAATTCCTTGGGTACGTTCCAGGTTTGGCAGAGTTGATCAATTTTTTGAGGAGCAACGGCGCAGATCTGATCGAGAATTTGAGGGTTTCTGAAGAAATTACCCAAGTTCTTCTCTCGGATAGTGTCCTCAAGAGATTGCTTAACCGCTTGTGGTGGAATAGAGCTTCCACCTGGAACGTAACCCAAAGGTCCGGCGCGAGGTGGAGCTCCTCCTTGTGGTGGTGGTGGGCCACCAGGGTAGGCTTGATATTGCTGACCTATTTGAGATTGTGTTAGTGGGTTTCCAGCACTTTGTCCATATTGCGAAGGAGGAGGAAATGATTGCGTTGGTGTGGGAGGCTGATCTCGTGGGTTCGATGGATATGGTTGATATGGCTGCTGACGTTGCTGTTGATAGGGCTGATTCGATTGATATTGCTGCGGAGGAGGTTGTGATTGACCATATTGACCATATTGTTGGTACTGTTGGGGAGGTGGGGGCTGCCCATATGGTGGGTTATACTGATTGTACTGTTGCTGTTGCTGTGGTGGAGGCGGAGGTGGAGGATGCCCATATGACTGAGGATGGGGCGACGTTGGAGGTTGCCCATAAGGAGACGATGGAGGTTGCCCGTAAGGAGACGCTGGAGGTTGTCCGTAGGGTGAAGGCTGTCCGCCATACGGAGATGGCGGAGGCTGACCATAAGGAGATGGGGACGGTTGACCATACGATGGATATTGCGGATTGGGGGATGGGGATGGATGCACAGGTGAAGAAATCTGACCTTGCTGACCTTGACCATACTGTGGTTGACCGCCAGTTGGCTAAATTAAATTAGCAAACATTCATTTACAAACAGACATTGGGGATTTGCAAGAAGGAGTAAACATACATATGGTGGCTGACCAGCTTGAAGAGCTGGAGGAGCTCCTCCTTGTGCCTGCTGTGCAGCTGCCATCTTAGAAGCTAGCTGTCCCCCCGGATACGCATTAGTATTTGGTCTTCCGTACATCTTGATTTATGTGTATATGAAGACTTTAAAAGCTTACCCCCATTCTTTCGAAGTAAGATTTTAATAGTCTTTTGTAGTTTGGTTTTTTGGAGGGTGTTCGTAAACAAAAGGATTCTCAAGTAGTTTATGTAGGTAGACTATGAAAGATCTAATTAAAGGTCCTCGTGGATGTTTGAATAATGGAAAAAAGTAAACCGTGGCGGGCGTAGCTTAATATGATGATGGTGGGGTGATGATCTAATGAATTGCCTGTTGATGACGAACGCAGGGATTCACAGCCTTGCAACACGCTCTAACTATCTACGAAGGACTAAAGTGAATTAAAACGGACCATTCACAACTATTTCGTCAAATATTTATCCAAGGTAAAGGTATGAACTCTTGGGGCTTGGCATATTTTGAGACTTTTGACCTCTCATAAGGCGTTTAGTTGCCTTTGCCGTGCTGACCTTGCTTTGAGCATGCTTGCCACATGCTTGGTCGAAAGAGGCTATGCTACATTTGTACCTTGCACTGGTGTAAAACTTACAATTACATACGTGATGCAATACAAGTACGTAGATAGACATATCTGTAGGTTATTATACGAGACACCGTATTCGCTGCCTCTAATCGTATGCAGAAAATTTAGATGTAAATAAACACTTGAGCTTCGTACACCGACGGTCGGATGATCACGGCAACAAAGATATGGTTCAGGGGTTAAGAGGGGTCGATATGCTGCACTAGCGTAGATGCCGAGCTAATAGTGGAGTTTAGTAAACGTTTAGGCTTCGTTTCTATGCCGACTATTGCGAAAGACTCCAGTGAAATATATTGACCTAATCAAATGATAATTATCTGCTTCGCTGTCTTCTTCAATATAACTCCATGAGATAGAGTCGTACGAATTTGCTCATATCATTCTTCCAATTTTGAAACGTGCTCGGCGAAGTTAATGTTGTATAGCTACGACACATGAAATTGTGAGAGCTACCCCTCCATAAGCAGTGTAACAATGCAGCACAGCCCAATATTGACCCTGTGGAAAGCCTGTCGTATCAAAATGCGATAAGGCCATTTGCGAACTTGACCAACGGGAGACTACACTCAACAGCCGCAGTACTTGATCGAAAAAAGTGTAACATTTCAATTAATCTAAATATCATTCATTATAACATTGGTGCATGGTCATGAGAAGGTGTTAACGGCACCAAATCATCTTCATCACCATTCAATAGACCTCTATGTTCCCCTGTTCCTGCTTCTCTCGCAAGTCCTGTCTCCATATCCATACCATCCTGTCCATTCGTTCTTCTAGTTTCTTCTGCACCATTCAATACGTACCAGACATCTTTCTTCGTCAAAAATCCTTGTAATACACCTCGATCGCAATAAAGAACATATCGAACACCTAATTTTTGAAAATAGTTTGCAGTGAGGAGAAGGTTTGATCGTGAAGGTAAAGTGATAGGTGTTTGATCCATCCATGGTCGAAGATCGAGTGTCGTTCTTGGATCCGCAAATGGTTGGTGTGAAAAGAATGCTTCCGTCTCAGGTCGAAGCGACCGAGGAGCTTGCGTGGACATTTTGAGATTGTATTGAAGTTCCGCACGCGATATGTATCCCAATAATATAGCTTCTCGAGGATCCGAGATCACGGGAAAGCCGCGATATGGATGACTTGCCAAAACATTGGTTAAAGATTCAATAGTATGACCAGTAGCGGTAAGCACGACAAGGTCTTCAATCCGAGTCATGATTTGCCGAACAGATATATCAGGGATGGGTGTCTCATCACTGTTATCCAAGAATGGATACTCATTCAAATGAATCCAACTTTCATATATTCCACGCTTCCCGAAAGCATCGCCAACCCATTTACTGATCATGACAGCGATCATAATTGGTAGCACATATGTTAGAGCTCCGGTAAGCTCAAACATGATAACGACAATTGAAACTGTCATTCTAGTCACACCGCCTAACGCAGCAGCAGCTCCAATAATCGCGTATGTACCGGGAGTAACACATGGAACATCTGGCTCGCAGGTGGCGAATGCAAAGAATTTGGGGAAATTATGAACCCATATCTCGACAAGAATGCCAACGGCACGACCAAAGAGCGCTCCTACTGCCATTGAAGGTAAAATGATTCCTGCTGGGACTTGGAGTCCAAATGTCATGGATGCTAAGAAGAAGCCTAGTACAGCTGCAAATAGTAATAAAAATATTGTTCCAATAGTAGCAGCACCAGTTTTGCATAATCCGAACTGGTCATCGGTAAGCTTCGAACACTCGGCAAATAAGGAGAAAACTAGCTCAGACGATTGAGTTCGCATGTAAAGGTTTGGGTAGTTGACTAAAGCAGTCAAAGTGGCAACAATCATAACCTGTGTTATCGGTCCAGGAAGCCAAGTAGCAGTCTTCTTCCATTGAAAAATGCTTGTATTGACTTTGATAAAAAGTCCGCCGTAAATTCCCTGATCGATGTTAGACTGCAGAAGTAATGGTTTTCACTAGAGAATTCTTACCCCTAAGATACCTAGAAAAGCATAAGGTATCATTTCAAATCCATGCCAACCAGTACTATAAGTAACTTGATATAGAACAAGCTTTCCGCTTCTAAAAGGATCTAATGCTTGTAAAGTTACTGCAGCTGTCATGGCACAGACAAAACTCTGCCACATAGTTTTGTCGGGAAAGTAGTATGAGAGTTGCTGAACTTAATTAGTTCATAGACATGATGATAAATCATCGGGTACCTACCTCCAGACTAAAGAGCACACCACCAATGGGAGACCCAAAGGCAACTGATATACCAGCAGCTGCGGCCGCTGAAAGTACCTCACGTTTGCGAGCTGAACATTAAATTAGGCGAAGATCGAGTTTCAAGCTTCAGAAATTAGACGTACCTTCGTTACCATTGATGTTGACAAATAATTTCATAAACACATTTGCACAGCAACATGCTACATGTACAAGCGGGCCTTCTTTACCAAGCCACATTCCAGATGCAACCGATAGGCACTACTTAAATCAGTATCTAACCGGTTATATATCATAACAAAACTCACCAGTCCAAGGGACTTAATAACCAATGTCCAGATCCCCATGAAACGCCGAATTACAAAGCCACCTAATATAGTTTTGATCTCAGGAATACCGCTATGCTTCGCATATAAAGCATATTCCTGTACCAAAACACTTGAAATGAAAGCAAAAGACAACTAGTCCATGTCAGCAATTGCACCGGGTATAATCGATGGGCTCGACCTACCGAAAACAATATAAAAAAGAAATACTCTATAAACCATTTTCCACCCGCCGAACCAATGTTTGACGCAACACTCCACGGTACCCAATCACGGCACTTGGCAACACTGTCATATCCGTAGCAGCAGAAGAATTTGTTGAGGTAGAAATGACCCCCGTCTTCTCCAGCTCGACAATATCCTGTTTTTAAATCTGCCAGAAAATCCGTGGCAATATCGATTCCGGCTGCAAATGCGCCGGCTGCCAGCCCAGTCAGAACAAGAACTATCCATATCTGACTTGCATCCAAAAGCTGTTGTACATATCCAACCAATCCTGTTGCGTTCGAGTATAACGTCCGTAGCCTTTGTCGTTCTTTCGTATATTCAAAGATCCAATCAATAGCTGTCATATCCTCATATCCAACCCGTCGACCTGGCCCCTCAATGTACCAATCCAATGGGCCTCCATCTTTCGGCGTAGGACTATGTTGTGTATTATTTCCTATTGGGTACGCTCGACCATTCCCTGGGCTTGGTGTGCTTCCTCTCGGCGATGGTGTATTATGCCGCGACTGGGATCCACTAATCGGTTTTGTAAATGCAGATAGAAATTTCGACGTCGCAGGTTGTTTCTGTTTGCGCTTAAATGAGAAGTGGTTTGGGCCGTCTTCGTCAAGTGGATCGTCTGCAAGTACAGCTTGGGGATCATCGTTATCGCTGTCATCTTCGGCTGAGGGATGATTTGGTGGACTGCGACTCGACGACGAATCGGGATGTCGCCGAGTTGCGAAATAACCCGCAGATGAACTGGCCATCTTTATACATTCGATAGAAATATCTGCATCTTCTGCGATAGTCGTAAGTTGGAATAGCTTTGTCGTTGACTTAAGAGTCTCGAGTGCTCTAGAATCCTCCGGATTAATGTTCTACCGAATTCCGACCGAAAGCTATTTGATACCCAATCCTAATTCCACCACTACTCCAAAATCAAAATTCTATCTAATTCCGACGTGGATGAATGAAAGATTTCTGGATATACTCTGAATCAAGCATGTCAGAATCAAAGGTCGGTAATGGCTCAAATTCTGAGCCAACGGGTCTCAGTAGCCCTGGCGCAACTTTTGAAAAAATGAAGGACCTCCTAAAGGCGAAAGACGACACTTCCAGGTTCGTAGGACTTGCTCTCCTTAAATCCGTTCTTGACAACGAACAACAGCTCGTCAAAAATACAGAACGCCTACAAATACTTTGGGAATCTATATCCTCAAAGTTTTTGGATCGACTATTGCGAGCTCAATTCAGTGGGAAGATTGACAAGGCCCAAGCCAAAGATATGGTAGATCTCGCAGTAGCTGTACTGCATACATTCTCTATACTCTTGCCAGAAGATGTCCGAAGGGGACCACAGCTCACTGGAAGAACAGGACCGCTGGTCAAAGCACTTGTTCAAAGGTAACACTCCAACTATTCGTATGTAAATCACGTGCTAATGCCACCTAGTTCCCCTGAAACTACACAGCTTATTCTCCAAACGCTGTTAACTATAGTCAGCCAGGTAGAAGGCTCTTTAGAACTTTTGAAGGTTGAGGATCTCTCTTCATTGACAGAGATAGCGCCACAATACCCTCTTGTTCTCGATATTTTAAATTATACTTGGGCAAATGGTTCTACGATCGAAGTACGAGCTGTCCATGAAAGTATCAATCGAGTGATCCCAAATCTCCTTGTCGTATTCAAAGGAACTGACGCTGTTACATTTTTATCTTTTATTTCAAGCTTTATACCCAAATTATCTTCCGAGGTAAATCAATACTTCCCCTACTAAGTACCGAGTCTAACATGTTTTTAGGCGCTTCCACGTAATCCAAAGTGGCTAAAGTCTGTAATTGTCTTGCTTCGCGAGTTAGTTAACAGGAAACCTACGCTTGCTGGTAGAGTTGCATATACCCAGGCGGCAGCGGCATTGTTACAAGCATACCCTGTGACATGCCCTTCATTGTTGTTTAACGATGAAACTATGCATACCTCAAACAAGAATGAAAGCAATAGCAAGCCGTTTTCTTACTTATTTGTAAATCTTTTATTGATTGACTTGCGATCATCCTTTCCGTCACTCTTGGCGAAATTGAATAATAGTGATTATTCAAATATCTCACAACGACTTGCAGCCGCATTTGATGTTCTGTCAAGCTTCATAGGATATCTTGTTCGAAGTCTCGATGAAGAAAATTCCAAAACTTTCACCATGCCTCCAGATTTAATGTTAAAGTTGCGAAAGGATATTGCTGAGACTATTTCTTTGGCAATTGAATATCTGCGAGATAGATGGGATGCATCTATTGCCGGTGCTTCTGGATTACACCCTTCCGCACGAGCTGGAACCGCTGCCACATCCGAAGGAACAAGACTCACTTTGACCTGGGATTCTATTCAAGATAAGGTTACTGCGGACCCCCTGATCCTAGCTAGTATCAGAGCATTAGCCATATGGGTTCGTGAGGATGAGAACGAAAATCTACGCAAAGAAAGTGCTGGTATGATGGACATGTTCATTGAGCTATACAAAATAAGTAATGCGGATGAGCCTGACTTCAGATATCCTATATTACTGGCGCTCGAAGGAATTATGACCACTGAGGATGGTGTAGAAGCTTTCTTGAATCAGGATGGGTGGCAAGTGGTTTCTGAAGATCTCCTCCGTATTCTTACCCATGTTGCCGATACCGCACCACCCACCAATTCTCAATTTTCCATAACCGCAGAAGCAGCAAGAGGTCTTCAAATCGTACGCATTCTACTCGCAGTCATAGATGAAGAGTCAACATCATATATTAAACAGGAATGGTTGACTCTGATTTCAATCACATCTACCGTGAACCTACCTGCCTCATCATCGTCTTCGGTGGTCATAGAGCTACATATTGCCATGCTACAACTATCCACAGCATTACTATCAAAGGCAGGAGATGGCATGCGAAAGCGTTACGCTAATGATCAAAACGCTCAAAAGAAAATGGTGGAGGAACTAGAGGTTGTCGTAGGAAAGATGGGAGATGAACAGGAGGCGGATGAGTTCAAAGAGTTGCTGTCAGACGTAATGTTAGATTTGGAAAATCTGGCAGTAGGTAGATAATCATTGACATCTTTAGAAGTGGGTTCAAAATGAAGTATGGTCTCTAATTTATGGATATCGTGGCAATACTAGCAATCCTACAAGGACTTAGGTCTGTAACAGACTATCACCTCTCTGCAATTACAGTTTAATCATAAAAAAATAATTGGTAACCTCATCTCAACCTCTAATTCCTTACCCCTCTTCTCCTTCGCCCCCTCCTCACTCTGTATTTATCTCATTTCCCACTTCACAGAATCTCACTCTAAACACACCGCCCTCTTACTCAAGCCTTGGAAAAGTTTCGAAATTTCTTTCGGTGCTCCTTTTTACTACATAGAAATAAAGCTTAGAAGTTTAAGCCAGAATCCGTTTTCCATTCGTTGTAGTAATTATATCTTCATTCAAAGTTGTAAACAACTTGACAGTTCTTTGATGGCGATCCCCAGATCTACAGGTAGATTTTCATGCCGTCAAACCAACTGTAAGCAGCTCATTCGGCGTATATGCTTGAAAGATTAGGGTTTTAACAAGAGCGAGAGGAAAAGCACACTCAGCAAAATGTCAATCTTAATTTTTTCTTACTATCAGAAGATAGATCCAAAGCTCATTATCGTCTACGCATTCAATTTGCACCAAAAAAAGTACCTTCCTAACTCGAACTCTTTTACTAGATATCTGATCACATCTAATGACTCGTAATTGAGATAGTAAATCTTGCATGTGAAGTGTAACACTGGTAACGGATACCGGAACCGATTCCGGTGTACGATCTGATTTATGGAGGTTCTCGTGGCTGTCGCCTAATGAATACAAACACATATGTGTATGTTGTGTACATGGATGCGGACAGAAGCTTGGAGGAGAGACGAAATGAAAAGTTCGCATGAGATGGTCGGATGGACTTGGGTTTTGTGTTCATTACAGAAGATCTTTATCTCTCAAGTGCGAGACTTTCGTTGTTTATATTAAGGATCATGAAAATGTTTCAATCATTTCTTCAATTAACGGCTCGAGCGCCCAGTACGTAACATCTTCATGGTATAATAACAATTTTAGTGCTCATCAGTTGCAACTAAAATTCCATGCGCTAAACCCAAATATCACAAGATGCCCATAAATTTTGAACTCCTCGGATCTGGCCGTTATCACCTCGTTCAAAAGAAGCATCTCGAGTTCCGCCACGAATATCATAGCACCAAAACAGCAAAAGTATTCCGGGTCAATCATCATGTGCTGACAACTTTATTGGGAAATGCATGTTCACTTTCCCGGATGGGTTGCCACTCTTGGCTACTTGCAGAAGTCAGAATACTACATGTGTCTTTCCGTGAAATAAAGTAGATATCCCTTAAGCTTGGGAATATCCACCACGGTATAAATTGAGCCGCAGTATAACGAAGAATTGAATTGGATCTAGTTCTGTACAGACACCTCCTTTCTACTGTCATGAGAGTTGCAAAGAAAACATTTGTTAGTGGTCATTGCACAGTCTGAGGTGCACAACACTCGTATCCTCGATGCGTCTGACAATCGTGTGATGTAGCTTCGATGCACAATCATTATCGAGCAATACAAATTCATGATGTAAGCTAGGGTTGTTGATAGCATTTGGATGCAAATTATAGGGAAGTAAGCATAGCGATAGTCTGAGTCTTTGGACTCTGGTTTTGCAAAATGGTATATATTTCACAATCAAGAAAATGTCAAGTAGAATACCGAGCTCCATCTGATGCATCTTTCCGAAAGAAATCTTGATTTCATACCCTTCATGAGTGTTCCACGATGGGATGATCACTTCGATATTGTGGCAACTAGAAGCATTGTATACTCCGATTTGAGAATCTCAAGTTCGTCGTACGAATCGGATTCTTGTATTAAGAGAGAGGCATTTCTTATTTTGAAAATTGGGATCCCTCTGTCATTATCAAGATCACTGTTGAAACTTTCCACATCAATTTCAAATATGCGTCTCCAAAAGTTTCTCGTCGTTCTCTCTTCTCTCACTGTCGTTGGAATTTCAGCACCAGTAGTTTCACAAGGTACATAAGGGTATTTTCGTATTTTTAACACCTCGATGATAGCATATAGCGCCAAAATTACTATGAAGGCCCAGAATGTAACTCACAAATAAACAGAAGGAAACTTCGAGATCATTGAGCGCAATGAACCTAACGCTCTAATCCTCGCCCGACATGGCACCGAGACCGACGTTCACTACATCTCAACAATCGCCGAAAACGACGCAGCCGCAGCTACAGACAAAACAATCGAGCGGGCTCTTGGTCGCAAAAGCATAGATGAACCCAACGAGAAAAAGCGTGGAGACGAAACAATCGAACGAGCTCTCAGCCGCAAAAACATAGATACCTCTAACGAAATTATCCCTCCAACACTTGTGTCAAATCAGAAAAAGCGTGGAGACGAAACAATCGTCTGGGTTCCACCACCACCGACTTCGAAGATTCCTGAAAGGCGAGGTGATGAAACGGTAGTTTGGGTACAACCGCCACCAACGCCAAAGATTCCTATGTAATTGCTCTAGTCGAGTGTCTTTGTTCCAATGTCTGCTACGTCTGTGTCGTATTTTTGAATTGGGTATCAAGGTCTTGAAAGGAAGGAGAGCTGTGAGATAAAGAACCACGATGTTATAAAACATGAGGCTTTGATTGAAATTGACAAGTTATGGATGGGATCTTGCACCTGCGGAACATCGGGATAATCACTTCTATCCAAAATACGTTCCGCGCATATCCAAAGACCATAGTTTGAGAACGACTTTTTTGTGTTTCTTAGTTACCTAGAGACAGCGATTGTGTTTCTGGGAAAATGAGCAAGGAAGTAATAATGATTGAATTTCGTTTCCTAGCTATCCTAAAGAGTGAAGCCAGACTTAACTTACCATGTGAAAATCGCTCGACTTTCTTCAAAACATGCTATAGCGTTTTCAAAAATGATGTGTCTATCACATAGAAAATTGGAGGGCTTTTCCATTGGTGGAAGCGGGTATCAACCCAATTCCCCGATTACGTGGGCTATTGGATGGACCATCGTCAATAAATCATCAGAGGTAGCTTCGAAGTCAATTTTTCTGTTCAGACGCAATACTATTAGCAAGCAATGATCATGATACTGTGCAGAAGAATGGTAGGAGAATTATTGGAAATCGTTATTATACAATATTCATTATTCTCTCGTGATGTTGTATTCCATATAGGTATTAAAGACCTAGTTTCTTCGCTCGTTCGACCCTCCCAAAAACGCCTCGCTAAAATTTCGACAGTGTCCGAATAGATATACATCCCATATTTTCTCCAAAATCATATTCTCATCTTAGTGATCCCCTAGATCACTAGTCATTAAGTAAAATCAAGAATGCCACTAGCTTCTATCCAAATCAGCCTTCCTGAACCCCGCCAAAACTTTTTGCCCCACCCCTTTCTTAGGCGGTAACACGCCCTCCCCTCTTCTAGCTACTGGCTGTGGATACGTTGGCTGAGCTACTGTTGGAGTTTCTTGCACAGGCTGTAATGCTGTACTACCTCGTCTGCTCGACTTCTTATCCTTCGAAGAACTTGAGCCTGCCCTTTTCGGCGAATCTACATGCGTACTCGAACTCGAACTTCTCGCTTCCACAGGCAAACTCGGTTGTCTATGATCCTCGCCCTTGCCCAGCAACTTCTTCGGTAAACTCGGTACACTTTTCCAGCTTTTCTTGATCTCTTCATTTTCTTCTCTATCCTTTTCCTCTTCTCTCCGCTTTCTAATCTCCGGGTTTATTTCTCCTCTCTCCTCTGCTTCTTTAAGTCTTCGGGTGTTTATCGTTTCGATAGCTTCAGAAGTAAGTTCTTGTTTCATCATTTTTTCAATGACGTCATGTTTGCGTGTACGTTTGTCGCCCATGGATATTAGAACTCCTCCCATGATGTTGCAAGTGATACTACAGCATAGAATGACGGTCGTGAGAGCGAATGGTCGAGTTTTGTACGAAATTCCCCATGTACATGCACCCAATGTGATTTGAAGGCAAGAATGTAGATCGAGTAATAACACGACGGCGAAAAGTAATTTCAAAGGGAATGCGTAATGGGTCTCTGTCTCGTGTGGCTTGTAGAATGTATGACTTTTGGAGAATTTTCGTTCGTGGTATTCGAGGACACTTTGCTCTTCTGGCGAGAGGACGGTATATTCGTAATTTGGTTGTACTTCTATTTGATTGCGAGCAACAATTCTATCAGCGTACCTCTTGGGTATACGTGGCGCAATTCTACGTGCGAAACTGTTGGGCATTCGACGGGCACATAGACTCTCGATATCGACTTGAGGAGGTGGAGCAATATCTTCCTTGCGTTGTTCTGGGAGATCGTTATGGTCCCATAGCTCTGGGAGACCAAGCTTCTCGCGACGTTTCCAAGTTTTGCGGTGATAGTGTGCAATATAGGCCATGTGGTAGGTATCAACTGCACGGAAAGGGGCCAAACCATCGCCAATAATTGCGAAAAGAGCAACGAGGACATTATCAACAATGTTGACAATATAAGCTTTTCGAGAACCTAAGGATATCCAGCCGATGAGAAAAAGCACCCAGGCAGCACCGAATAACGTAATCAAAGTTGCATATACTGTGATGAATAGTCCCAAAGCTATAAGAATAAAGTTAGCCAAAAGCAGACCAAGAGTGAAAGTTAACTCACGTCTGCGGACATACTGTCCAAATCCTTTCATTGAACGCTTGAATTTCGCTCGTCGGGAATGAAGTTGATGTCTGACAAGATCATCTAGCTCATCCACCTCCGCGGGCGTCCAACCACCAAGCCTTTCTCCATCAGGCAAAACGGCATACTCTAATTTTGGCGGCTTCCATGTATCACCATCCGCTTGTTTTTCTGGACTTCGTAGATTTTTCAACTTTGCTTTGATCCTATCAATCGTGCGTACTTCTCCAGGGCGTTCTGAAAGTTTATATGTCGGCTGACGATTAACGAAACCTCCCATTTGAGGCACAAAGAGGGAATTTTGGACATTGGTAAGAGTGGAGAGAGTAGATATTTCAGGATCTGCAGAGAGTCAGTCTAGTAGCTGAAAACCTAGTATGACTATACATACCCATAACATCTAGCAAATCTACCATATCAGGGTCATATTCATGCTCATAAGATTCGGGCTCTTTGGAGTACTCCCCGCGACCAAACAGCGATCGAAAGCGGTTGGTAAATGCATTTCCTTGCGATGGAAGCGGGTGGTTTGCAGCTTGAGTGACGGATTGTTGTGAAAGCCCTGTGCGATTTTGCTGGGTACTTCCATGAGGTAATGGAGTGGATGTAGATTTTTCAGAGAAGTCTCTTGTTGAGGGTACATTTCGTGATTCGGCAGTCGACGAGTCGCGATAGATACGAATGGTGGGTCGTTGGTGTGTACTCAGAACGGACTTTACTTTTCTACCAACTGCAACAATTGGGTTCTCAGTTGTCGAAGACGACGGCGAAGACTGTGGTGAGTCTTGGTGAGCCATTTTGAGGGTGCTTTCTTCAATTGTTGCTTGTTACTCCATACAACGAAGATTTGGTAAAATTGTCGTAGCAGCACGAATTTGTGGGTTTAAAATCAATAACTGAAATCACAGAATGCACTTAAAATCAACGCCTTCATCAGATATTTAAGTCTCGAAAGATAGGCGATTGATTATAGAGGAGAGTACAACAAATTGATTTCAGGGTCCAATGGACCTACTAATGTAATGCTATCTCTGCGGTTTTCAGGTTGCACAGGGGTGCGACCCTGTTTTGGGTCGACGATGTCATTTTGCAGGTAAAATTGCAGTGAATATTGCAATACGCCGGTCACATCCCAGGGGTGATCTGTTGGCAAACTTCCAAAATACCTTGGAACAGGATTCGTAAATGGCAGGGCTACTCAGCTCTGATTGGCCAAGTTCACTAAATTACAGGAGCAAAAAGCAGGTTTCTACTCCGTAAAATCTACATGAGGAAACGACGAAATAGAAAAAAGCAACAACAACAAACAGCTAACACTCGAAATACTTAGAGATACGTATAGTTGATATATATAGTAAGGAGGTATGCCAAATTGGAGGGTTGGATGTTTAGACCTTTAAACCAAGATTAAAAGAAGATTGAAAGTTCGAGACTACTTAGTCTCGAGCTAGTATAATTTCATTGGCTTATCAATTGTATGCACAGACCAAAAAGGATTTAGTACACGTGACCGATACATTGATAAATCGTTCGTGACATGTCCACTCCACCCCCATACCCACCTCGAGGTCATAATCATATTAAAGATTTCGATCGGTCTAGAACATTTCTCTCCGGCAAAATTCTTCCTACACTTCATGTGCACTCGAGGCTGTATTCTTATGAACCACGCTCGATAATCCTTCAGGGTAAGGAGATTATGATGGCTATGGTGCCACAGATATACTGTGATATGGATTTGGCATTCAAAGTTGGATGCTTTTATCCTGAATACAACACAAAACACTTGGAATTTTGAGTTGATATTTCGGCTACAACTGATCGAGTGGCTTGTACCGGAACAGCATCCAAGCTTGGACGAACTATGTTGGGTAACCAGAGATGCCAATACAAAACGAAGGAGGTTGATTTGGATTGTGTTGAATTTTCGCCTATACCGAGTCTTTGGGTGATGGATTTAAGTTTCCAAACACGACGGATTTGAGATGATCGATGTTTGCAAGAAGAATAAAGTTCTTTGGTTTTGCTAAATATGCTACCTTTGATATTACAACTTGCAAGCTTAACCATCGTTGTCTATGCTTTTAAGCTCTTGTAAAAACACCTTATTTGATCGAAATACCTATACACCACCTCAAAAAATCATGCGCTTACAAGATATCTGCTCTTGACGTTCCGCATATCTAAACTCCAGACATTCGTTCAATGACTAATAACTAGGATGGTCAGATCATAGTTGACAAATGCCATACCCATGTCCACTCCAGTACAAAACATTTCCAGCAAATCAGTGTTTTACTAGATTGCCCAATAATGATGAGTAAGAATGAGGATATTCCTCTCTGCTTAGCTTCTGTCATCTGGGAGGTTGACCTTGCAGGAAACTACCGAAAAACAGCATCTTTCTCCATTAAACAATAATGGAGTCGATTCGTAGCAGCAGAAGTTGCGTGTATAATCGCTGTGCTACGCTGAAAAAATCATGTTCATAAAGATCCTAGTAATCTCTAGCATTTGCATGCCATCTTTCTTCATTAAAGTTTGGGATGAATCATGCAAGAGCGGCTGGTTTTGACTGGCATGCACATGACATTGAAACTGACTTCTTGTTCTCTTTTCTCCAATATTGTAAAATCCGAAAGTCGTAAACCAGGTCCACTGGCCGCTGACAAGATGCGATTGATTGAAAAGACGCACAGGCCAATTCATGTCAATTGAACAGTTTAAGCCACATTGGGCAGCATATTGGCAGAATCTTGATTTTGTATAGGGTAGTACTCTGACATGACATTAGCTCGAACGAGGGGTATATACTCGATCAGGCTAGACAGATATACCTCATTGGTTCATCAATCCCGCAATTAGGAGAAACGACTTTGTTTAGCCACTAGGTATCCACTCTTAACCATATTCATCCGAGCCATTATCCATTATTATCACTTATCAACTACAGTGTCATCCATCCTCTCCCCATTCACCAGCCACTATCCATATCCCCTCATCAGACGGAAGATGGAGGCCAAAAGGGTGCGAATCTCCGGAGAGCTAATTACCTATGATAGATAAGTTGGGTACAGAGTATAAAGGTGTCATCCGTCGTATTACCCTTTTAGTCAAATACAACTCATTACCCACCCAAGAAAGAAGCTGTCGTCTCCACCCACCTTTATCTAGATACATCTATCGTTCTATGAGGTCCAGGAACGCAAGTGGGCTTATAGCTACTTTTATGATCTACATTGAAACATGGGTACCTGAGCATAGAACTTTTTATTCGATCCTTTACGCCAATGATAAGATGCTTGCTCCTTACTCGTAAAGACTTTCATAATCTAGAACCTTTCTGTTTTTCTATTCTACGTCTCCTCCGAGCGGCTGTTTTCTCTTGAACCATGGGCGATAATGGTTCATGGATAGAAGAAGTGGCAATGATGGTACTATAGATATACTTAGTATTCTTTCCGACTACAGTCTCAGACAATTCAAACCCTCGGTTCCGGGCTCTGATTTTTGATTAAGTATATCGATACAGAATGAAGAAGTTTGAGATTAATTTGGTTCATGAGTGGATCAATACCATAAGATGAGGGGCCCTTTGGTGGTCCATGAGTACCGACAGATACCTACTCTTTAGACTGTAAGTAGGTGGGTATTTGCTTTAAACCTAATTCAGCTTGTGCGGCGACTGTCGGCAGGGATAACGCAGGCCTCTTTCAATGCCTCTTTTAAGGTATGAGGAGATGTCTCTTGAGAAGCATTAAAAGGGGTTTTGGGGGGGGGGGGGGGGGTGCACGCTCCATTTTTCACTCGAATACTCTTGGCACTTTTTGATCAATTTTTGCTTGGTTAGCAATTCCAAAAATCCTAAAAAAATCCCCAAATTCGCCCTTTGTAAGAGGGCTGTGTAAGCACAAAACACCTGTTAGCTGATTGAATGATACCAAGTCGTTTCCTGAGAAAAGAGGGGCATACCTAGCACACCCTTCAACCTTTTAAGCCTTTCATGGTTGATGAAATTCCCCGGCATCCATGTTACTTTTGGTGATGTCAGGTACCTACCTAGATAGTGTAGACGCATGGACTACATATTTCTTCCTCCCACATGTGCATCATTGTATTAAAGTACCTTTTCTCATCATGCCTGTGGAACCTGACCGCCCTGGTTTGTGCGGTGTTTTCAGGTTGCCATCGGTTCAAAGGGACAGTATACAGGAGGAAAAAACAACGAAAACTATTTAACTAAATTCCATTACATGATCAGTACCAGGACTGACTACCCTTAATCTATTTGTCGCTTTCTCCTTAGAACGCAGCAACTCTTATAGCAGACTGTTATGAGCACCTGTATATGAAGTGGTGAAATGTGTATAATATAGGTGTTACTAAGCTTTGAACAAGGCTTTTTCTTAATAAAACTTGATGCAGGTATATAAATGATGGAAGTCTGTATGGAGGTGGTCTCAAGTCTCAGAGACTCGGTCGACGGAAATAAGGAAACCTCAGAATAGGTTTAGTCACTCGGAAGATTTGAGAGGCTGTGTTATGGCGAATTTCGGACGCTAGCTTGGGCTAAAGACTACCTAGAAGGTACAAAATGCAGCACATCATCTCATCACTAACAATTTAGAGTACAGATTTTCAAGCGCTAATCAACTCAACATCTCAGTAAGGCCGTGGTCATATTCGCCGAGATTCCATACCAAGATCAACACATACTCACTGTTTTTAATAATCAACACCAATTCAACTACAAAGGAATTTTGGAGGAATTTTTAGATCAATCGATAGAAAATTAGCTCAGATGCCATGTGGTTATATTAAAATCATTCCATTTTGTATATATAGAAGATTATATCTGATACACGAATTACCGGAATAATCTTGGTGTATTTATTGGTCAAATTTTACACCGTACTCAATTGGAGTCTCTCTGGATGGAGTAGAACGCCTTGGAAAAGCAGTAGCCAACAAAAATACTCGGCGGGTGGACAACCCCATCGAATGAACGAATAGAGCAACTGAAATGTTACCTTCCTTGAACTTTCCTAATTACCACGGTATGTTTCAAATTATTCGATTGGTCAGAATGATTGTTGGAACGATTTTCTACCTTCAAGGAGGCGTAGTAGTAATGACCTTGGTGGACCCAAAGGACCCGTTGCCAAATGGATCTCAAGCGTGTAATCTGTTTTTTTCTTCAGGGAAGATCGATCGGTAATCAAAGATGGACCATAGGTAGTCAAGGATTGTCCATAGATAAAAATAAGAAGATCCCATTCGTAACGTGATGATGGGAATAAGCAATGCCGATGAGGATAATGTACAAATGCAAGCTCACCAATGAACAGCAACGTAAGATCGGATATCAAGCCTGATTTGCGCATCCTCTCAATTTATGACTATATTTTATACCATTCTGATTTGCCATCCTCTTAATTATAGACTCCGTAATGTGACGTTGACTACGCTAATCCTATTATTGATCTTTACTCCGTGGGGCCCATCTCCCCTTATGATTCGCAGTCTTGTCAGGTCTTCCGACTCAATTTTGAATGATTGAACTCACAGAGGTCTTTCCAAAACCCAATTTCTTGTACTTGAAGCAGATACACATATAAAGGAGTCCATATCATCAGCTATTCTTCACACATTACAACCAGTTCAGATAGACATTGCCCCTTACGCTAAACAATTATCATTTCCATCATGCGTCAGTAAAACATCCTTCAACTTACCACATACTAGTAACATTTACCCCAAAACTAACCCGTCCATTAGTTGCTATCGACGATATTATCGCTATATGCTTTGGTCTGACTAGCGTTCTCCTTGCAACCATTTCTCTTTATGTCATGTGCAAACCAAAAGCCGCCCCAGGTAAGCGACAAATCATAGATTGATGATCCAGAACTCAACGGCTAATTAAATAGACATATCAGGGCCTGATCTTGAATCGGGACCACGAACTACGAGCCTACCCTCCAATCGAGCATATCCGATCTCAGCATCCTCCCGTCTTCCCAGTAGAGCACCTTCAATGTCGGCATATTCCAGTCTCCCTAGCCGAGCTCAAATCTCATTGCACGATGATAACCACAACCACCTCCGCTCAATTAGATCCAGCCCTCAACGTGCGACAAATCAATTACAAGATTTGGGCATGCTCGTGCCGGATTTGACATTTGCTACACTGGAACCTTCTTCTGAATCTGCGATTGAACTCTATCAGGTAACGCACTCGACAAGGTTTATATCGTACAATCGGAGTTGGGGTTGATGTTCGAGGCAGGGTGTATTTTCGAATGGTGGCTGGATAGTTTGAATTATTGATGAGTGTATTGATACACATGGTAACATTGATGGTGTCATTTTCTAGGGCGGCGATGATGAATTGTTATACCATGGCATGGGACGGCGCCGATTCTTTGTACAAGATTGGATCATTATGTTTTGATACATTGTTGAGATGCTTTCAGTTATGCGGAATTGGGTGGTAGCGCTCAGAAGATAAGTGGCATCAAACTCGAAGGCGTGTTCACCTTATTTGATGAGGAGCAGAGATAGTTTTCGAAAAGAAATATCTTTGAACACCGGCGCAGAATTGGTTCCATTAATCCATATTTATATCTATATAGTTCTGGTCCTTTCGCAGTCTTTAACGAAGGACCAAGAAAAATTGAGGGGTCTAGGCCTATGACGTATATTGACCCCACACACTAGCCACAGGCCGCTAGATCCCGCCCTTCTAGAAGTGAACGATATGGCTTCCGCGTGGCTATCTGTGATAAGGCTTAGACCAACCACTAATAAGACTACAACGCTAAAGAAATGCTCATAAATACGCTGTGAAACAACATTTACACAATTTGTATAATTCAAATCTAATGGATGGATTTTCTTGATCTAATCTGAAATCCAATAAATGAAAACACATTTGACTGACTTATTATCTTCAAAACGATGTATAGCAATCGTTATGTTACGACCGCTAGTAATATATACATATACACACGACTCACTAATGTCAGGGCATCTACTCCGGAACATTTAATCTCATTTGTGGGATAGAATAGAAGATCCTATTCACATTTATGTACATAGAACTAACTCTTTTGGTGTCATAGACATGACATTTCAAAAAACAAAGTCGTCCAAAAAGTGACGTCGGTATTGATTCAAATCACAACACCTGTATCACACCACGACTAAGTTCAATGCACAGTCGCCGCTCCCGACCTCTGCAACGTCTTTGGCAACAATGGTTGAATAACCTTCAACCAAACAGTCGTATACAATCTACCATCAATTAGCACATGCATCATTCATTCAACGAATATAAAAACTCACCCAGGACTTCCATCCGAAGCCAGACTTCCCGGTTCCAAACTTCCCCACTGCTGCGAATCCGTACAACATGGCGAATAAGTTCCCCAGAAGGGTCCAGCGGCCCATGCTGTCCATCCTATATACTCCTTATTCTGCGCCATGTAATCAACAATTCCCTGAATGTATGGAGCACATTCTGTACCGTTAGCACCGCCAAATTCAGTAATCATGGCTTTGAGATTGTAGGTTTTAAGCCAAGCGGTCAAAGGAGCGAGAAGCTCTGGTGCTGGAGATGCACAGACGGAGTGACCACCTGAGAAATCGACATCGAGATATTCGTGGATGTCCATTGCGGTGTTATTGAGAGGGTCTTGGAGGGTTTGCATCAAAGCGCTGGATGGGTCGCTGCCTTCGGTCCAGGCATGTCCTCCTGTCCAGGAGTTTCCTGGTGCCAAGATCCTATGTTCTTTGATAAGCCAATATCTCGATTGTATTGGAATGATTAGATTACTCACAAATTCTTAGCACCTGCCTTACGGATCGCAGTGATCGCAGCTTGATCGTTTGCGACTACCAAGCTTGTGGGCATATCATGGGGCTAACGCTTTCGTTAGACTTGATTGATTTCTTCCATGATATGCATAACATCAACTGACCTCATTCATCAATCCAAAGATAACTTTCGTGTTACTCTTAAATCTCTTCGCCAACTCTCCCCAAAATGCAGCAAACTGTGCCGTAGTTGCAGCCTTAGGATCCGTTGTGTTACCGATCACGGATCCAGAGTACGGTTGAGAAGAAGGATCATTGTAGCGCATATAATTGTGAGGGTCTAGGATAGCATATGCAGATTTGGTTTTGGTGATATAGTTGATTGCATCCGCGTAGTAGGCGTAATGCTAATTTATATATGAGCTCGGCTAATGATGAAGGGAGGGGTTGAAGATACTTACTGTTTCGTCGAATGTAGCACCCAAGCCAGTAGCAGGGGGACACATTCGCTCGAGTAGGAATGCTACTCGGAATAAGTTTACCTTGAAAGCTGTTAGATACTTTCCACAGTTCTCGGCGCAGTATTATTGCTATGAAAAATACGAGATTGAGTCAAGTCATCAACCTACCTTATTATTATCCACGTAAACATCAATGGCAGATTTGTTAATGAAAGCATAATCCTGGCCAAACACCCCCGGCAATCCTGTTCCCACGGTACCCGTTCCACCTATTTAGAATTAGCATTAGACCTTTCAAGTTCAGCATGATCTAGATTATCTCTAGATCATGAAGATAGAAATAAAAACAGAAACACATACTATACACTCCAAACTCTCCACCACTCTCAGCTACTCCTGCATAGTAAATTGTAGCATCCACCGAAGCGGCAAAGGCTCCAATCGCGGAGATGAGACTTTTCAAAAGCATGATTGATTACCTCTTTTCTCGAATCACAGAGACTTGTACTACAAAAGTAAAAAATACAATATGAATGTCCAAAAAAATTCTGTACTCAGAACAACAGATCTATATACCAAAATTCCACCAAAGAAGCTAAGGGAAAACCCTCCCACAATGCCGAAAAGATCCATAACGGGTAGTATTCCGATAGATGAAGTTATTCCGAAACATCCTTATACCCTGTCGATCCTTCATATAACAACATTTTAGTACTTCCACATGATCAGGAACCCACACGATAAGATTGGCCGACGGAGAAATTCCACATCAAAAATCTATGCTCAGGGGATAATCGGAGGCTCGGGCCGGCTATTAATAAACTAATTTCTGGGGACCCCACACGGGAGATGTCACTCCGTGATTGACATTTGCCGGAATGGGGATGAAGAGCCCGCTGTGATAAGATGTTTTATGGGTTCTTCGTGATGGGCTCCACTGAGAGTCAATATTTTGAGCTATCCGAACTGTTTGAGACTCCTTTCTCTAATCTATAACAACGTCAGCCAAGGGAGTTTCCATAATAATCAAAGAGTCTTGGCGAAAATCCTCTTCTTGCGTGCTTGTGTGTAATTTGAGCGTGTTTCTTTTCATTGCAATAAGGATATGGGCGATTTGATGATGCACGTTGAAAGTTAAGCAATCTGGGCTTCGCTAACTAAAGCACTGGCTTCACAAAGCTTAAGGTGGCGTGAAAAACTGCAGGAGCCAGTAGCTTGAGAAAGTGTATATATTTTATGCAGCTCAAACAGAACAAATCTGGAGAATGATGAGATGAACGATAAAAAACTTGTGTTAATGCTATGAAAAATTCTAAAATAACCCCATACATTATGACTCTCAGAAGAACAAGAATCAAAAAGAAACCAATCAGTTTTATACCAAAACGCCAAAGAAACAGCCGAAGAAACCAAACAGTGAATAGAGACATCCCTTGGACTTCCCTTCTCACATTCTCTTCGGAATTACCCTTTCATCTCCAGCAGCTTTAAATCAGATACTCTCCTTTTCCCTCTCATTGTTTTGACTATGGCAAGAGAATCCCCAAATACTACTAACCTTCCTCAACATATTCGAATGTTTTCTCTTCCCCTCCTCCACCATCATGAATTCGAAATTTCCGGGTCTCTTCCAAACACCAAACTCATCATCTTTCTCGCCCTTTCCGCCCTTCTTGACACTCCACTTATCAACACTCTGAAGAGCCTTCACTGCCTCTTTCCACGCATTTTCGCTCTCAAACTCTTGTTCTATCTGTCTCCAAAGATCGACGTATACACTTATATCTTTATCCCAAGTCCCCTTTCTCCAATAAGCTCTCTTCAGCAACTCTAGTTGCGCAATGGCAATAGTGCATACTTTATCTCTGGGCAACTCATCGCCGGCATCGGAGACGGTACTGCAAAGTATGTCTTCATGAATACGCATTGCTTTTCTGAGGTCTGGATGGGGAGACGCGGTATAGAATGCAGAGAGCAGATTCTGCATCTCGAGAGTGGTGGAATCGAGTGGACCCCATACACGACGGATATTGTAACACATGTCTTCCAGGAGATGGATAGCTTGGTCTTGATTACCGCTGGAGAATTGTGTTTCGACGAGGAGGCGGCCAATATGTACGATTGTGGAGGAAGACCAAGAGATTTGCGAGTGACGGGAGTTCCAGAGTTGAGTAAGCAGCCACTGTGATTTATTGTTAGGATTTACACAAAATGAGGGATCAGGGGGGAAATATGCTTACCTCAAGAGCTTCTAGGTCTTGAATTTCTCCAAGCAGGCCGCATACACTATTTAGCTGCTCAATTGGCAAATCCACGACCTGGATTTTGCCGGTGCGGAATTGTTGAATAATTTGGTTCATGATTGATCCCGACAAAGCCACCGAAGAAGCGCGAAGCTGAACATCACTGATTTGCTTAGCTCTGTTGCCAACCAGAGCTTGCGCTAGGCGTAGACCCATATCTATCTTAGGCAGAGTATCATAGCCCCCATAGAATTTCTGAAAGCGATCGACATATTCAGCAAGTTCTTGCCCCTCTGCAAATTTGCCTTTACTCATATGGACACTTGTCGCATCCAGACCTGCTCGCAAGATAGAGATTTCGGCTTCGCCTTCATTGAGATTTATGAGGACTATGCGCAGGAATTCGCGGAGAGTATTGCTATTCAAGTTCTTCTTGACATCCAAGTTAGCTGCGAAGTATTCAAGGATAGATTTGTTAGCAATCTCGATTCCAGCATCATCTTCAACATCCATCAAGAATGTAAGGAGCTTGGAAGCATAGGAGAGGACAGTTGTCAAAATCATCTTCTGAGAGATCGAGCGCTGATACATTTGGTATAAGAAGACTTCCATGAATAAATCAGCCATGATCGATGAGTAAATTTCCTTTCTTTCTGTGACAGTTGACTCGAAAGCAACCAGGAAACCCCAGGTATAGCTTTCCAGCTTGAAATTGGGGTCAAGCTTTAGATTGGAATGGGCAAAGATTGCCTGTGAGCGCAATTGCTTCGTCAATCTCACTGCCTCCGACTCAAATCTTGCATTCTTGTAAATCGTTGCAAATTTCACTGCTGAGTCTGATAAGATCTGAGAATTCTTCTCGGTCTTGAGAACTTCCAGGATCGAGACTTGAAGAGTTTGCTGGGCCTCCAAAAGAGCTTCTGGCTTATCTTGCTTAGCCAATGCTTTGGTTAAGTGTCCGAGCCAGAGAAGAGTATCACAATAAACGTATCCCTTCTCCGTATGAGACTTGTTGAACTCTTGTTTGTACAAAGTAATGGCTTCTGTCGACGCAGAGAGCTTGGAAATGGAGTATAGATGAGGCAGACGCTTCTTTGCAGCAAGTACAACTGCTAAAGTGGCCTCAGTGATCTGCCCCTTTGGAGCTTCGTGAGCTTTGATATCTGCTTCCTCATACAAGGATATAGCCTCTTCGCGATGCTGCTCACTATTCTCATTGAGCTCGGCGAGTTGAAGTGTGGCTTTGATTGTGATCTCTTGATGAACACCGTACAAAGTCACACACACTCTACGGAAGTCAATAGCGAGCTGACGTAACAAACTGTGATGTGTTTCAGATGCTTGCCTGATGACGCGGACATATCGTTGATGCAGATCTTCGGCAAAATCTGTCTTGATATCGTACTCCTTTCCATGTTTCAGTAGCATCTGCCAGAGGGAGCCACAGATCTTTTGAGCAGGCACATACTGGCGTTGCTGTTCATAGATAACGCACAGAGCCAAAGCTGCTCGAACAGCATCTTTGTGACAGACTTCCGTATTTCCTTTACCTAGGTTGACATGAATGGTGCGATATGCACTCTCAGCTTCTGCGATGTTGTAGATTTGCATGCTTAAATCGCCCAACAAGTACAGAGTCTTGATCGTCCATGTATGTGTCTTACCATGTCTCTTTTCGATCTCGTGGTGAAGATCACGGTAAACAATGATGAGTTTTGCAGTCATAAAATGCGACTCATAGAAATCAATCAACGTCTTAGATGTAGATTCTAGGAGCTCATCCGAGGTCCCTGGAGTGGCCACAACTGCGTAGAATATCTTTCGGTAGGTAATTTCAGCTAATTCTAGTTGGCGTAACTTGAATTGTGCGAAGGCCAGTCGATTGAGGAGCTCCAAGATTTCTGCAGTGAAATTGGCCGGCAGAGGTATGTTAACATTGTTACCTAAAAATGATGGCCAAAGCCGAAGCAAAATTGAATTTGTCACCTGGGATATCTCAGGCCATCGTTGTTCTGAGTAATAAGTAGCGCATAACGATGTAGCTTGGCGTATGGTTGTAGTATCGATAGTTTTAGGGTCTTTACTGACGATAGTTCTTTCAAATACTTCGCGAATCGTTGTGAGATCCTGTGTAGGTTCTTCTGTCTTTGTCTCGGTAATCTGAGTTAAGCTCTTGGAGACAGATTTAGCCTCTGGAGATTCTTGTTTGCCACTTCTGACGTAATATTCCCATAGATTGTCAAACACGAGATGAGCTGCTGCTGTTGACCCAATGCTTTGCAACTGTTCACCAACAGATTTCGTATGCTTGATGAGGTTAGTAGATTGAATATCACTATGTTCGAGGTCAATGTGGATGCCTCTAAGTATATTCTCTGCCTCGGCTATTCTTTGTTCTCGTTTCAAGAACTCAACGTAGCGGAGGGCGGCTTCAATTTTCTTCTCTTGGATGGAGACGTCGTAAGTATGCGTTAAACTTGTCAAGCTTTGCCACAGATTGATCAGCATCTCCTCGGTCTTGACAGTGTTCTTCTCCTTCTCAAACTTTTCAATCATGGCCCATGAGAGTTCAAGACGCTTCGAAGCAGACGCATTCATGTTTCGGATACTGACTTCGTACTCTTGCTGTAGATTACTGGTACTTTGCTCCATCTTATTAATCTCAGTTGAGCTCCTTGAAAGTGTCTCCCATGATTTAACAGTCTGTGGAGCTGACTTTCCATGAACCGTTACGTTCAACTCATAAATGTACTTTTGCCACTCAGTAACTTTCGTTGTTTCGCCGATAGTATCGTAAATTCCAACCAGAGTCTCGGCAAATGTTATGGTTTCTTGGCTGACTGAATTGGTGGATCTTTGCACCTTGACAATGTACTCAAGAAGTTCAATCTTCCGTACTACAAACTCGGTCTTCTTGATAACAGGAATTGAAGATGTGCTTTCAATGCATTTCTGGGCACACTTAAAGGCTATTGATGGAATATGAAGAGCTTCCGCAAGCTTCCATGCATCGTAGTAATATTCTACATTTGACGAAACATTGATTTGTTCTAATCGCGCCATGTTGAGTAAAGTCTGGAGAACAGACTCTGAAGTCTCACCATGTACAGATCTTCGTATAGAAAGAGTCAATCGCAATTGAGTCAAGGCGTCTTGAAGTGGAAATTGGTATTCCCAGCAAGCTCCTTCAACTAACGCCAGGAGGACAGAGTCGGCAAAGCAGGCTTTAAATAAAGGAGTGAGCTTTTGTTGAGGTCCCTCATTCATCGGGGATGCCGTGAAGTGCATTACCCAATACCTGGAGGCGTATTGAATGAATTCGTATGTTTTGAACAATTCATTCAACTCCTCTTCTGTCATGTTAATAAGGCTCAAGTGAGCCGAGCGTCTAGCAGTGGAGGCTTTTATGTAAGCTAGCGACCTCAACGCCAAGTCGTAATGGGCCTCTTTTACATGGAATGGAAAGGTGCCCGGGTTCTTGGAATCAACAACCGACATTGATCTCTGGATAATGTTTTGCTTCACAAGATCATGGGAGAATCGGACAAAGCCATCATCCATTTTAATCAATGGTCCAACGGAAGTGGCAATATCATCCTCAACACGGGTTGTTCTTGGAACGTGCTGGCAAGAACCGGTATCAATCTCCAATAGTTGCTTGACTTCACTTATGAGTAAAGGGCGCTCGCTTGCCAAGATCCAGGCAAGTATGGACTTTGTGTCTCGCGCCTTCAGGTCAATGGAGGACATAGTGACATCAAGTAGCTGGCCCAAGTCTTTCGGGAGACTATCCAGACGTTTGATTGTGGATTCTGGTGTCTGTTCTCTTTTGAGAATATCAATTGCATTTTGAGACCATACAAATGAACCGTTGGCAGTATGCACAAGCTTTAATGTTACCAGAGAAATGTCCTTTTGGCTCAGATTCATTGTCGATGACAACTGCGATTCGATAAAGTACTGAACATCTTGACTGGTATGTTGAATGCCGATTGAGAAGTGAGAACAGTCTCCGGGGATTGGCTTGGTGAGTGGTCGAGAGAAGACAATACATTTTGTGTTCTGGTGTTTGGAAACAACTGTGCGCAATCTCTCAAGTAGGACTAATCCACTACTCTCACCGCCAAAGACTTGATCAAATCCATCAATGACAATAGTCTGGTCGCGATCGGTTCGAAGACTCTGGCCTAAAGCGGCCCACAATGAGTCCTCAACTTTGGTACTTGGATTGCCTTCTACATGCAACTCATATGCGTGAAATAATTCCTTGTACAAAGCTTTATCACCAGCACTGAGCTGGAGCATTTGTAGCAAGAGTCCCTTGACAATACTAAGAGTTGATAGCTCCGTTTTTAATGTGCCATCTGAAAAGTGTTAGAGCTTATCACAAAAAGAGCATCAAATACAAACCAATAGTATAGCGAATCACCTCTGTCGCTCGGCGACCTTTGAAAGCTTGGAGCCTTTCAACAACCCATTCGGAAAGTACGGATTTTCCTGAACCAGCGGATCCAGTTACCATAAAGATGTTCTTCCCGCTCCGTAAAAATTCTCTCAAAGGTCTGTCAAACCACTCGCATGTAAAATCGGCTCTCGCCCCGTGAGCACGGTGATTAGTCGCAAGGATTCTTGTAACTCGATCATGTGGGGTTAGGAAATTTCTCACAGCTTCCACTGAATTATCTACCAGATAGTCGTCAGTACTTGAGGAACTAAGTCAAGCTTTCTGACAGTCCTGACTTACCTCCAGGCTCAGCTAGACGTTCAAGTCTCGTTGACCAAATTTTATCTACAAAATGATCACTGTGCAAGAAGAACTCGTCAATTCTTTTGCCAAATAATTCGTCGAAGGTACGAATGCTGAAGGTCAAATCTACTTTCTCGGTTAGGTCTATCATAGCTTTACATATTTGAAGAGAGCTTACCATGTTGTCTTCTCGTGTAATATATCGTAACTCCAGTCAAGAGTTTCAACAGATCTGCGTAACAAGCCACCAAAACAGTTTGCAGCTCTTCAACTATATGTACAAGCTCATGGTGACGGACAAGGAAGCCAAGTGTGATACTGCAATTGTAGAGTACGCCGAATATTTTCTCGAGGACAGGAACAAATTTCGGGCCCATCTGTGGACAAAAAGAAGATGGTTAATGTTTTGCAATTCGAGTCTGAAATATTTTGGGACGAACCTCCAATAATGTTTTGCAGCTTGCATAAATGATGTTTGTTGCCTGTTCACTCTGTGTGGTGAACGAGGAGATCTCCTCACTGTATGTGGAAACTTGACCTGTAAAGAATTCTGCCCATTTCAATATCTTGTCCCAACGACTGCCGTGATGTGGCATCTGCGACAATCTGATGGTAGCAATAAAGTCGAAGAAACTTTCTACAGATTTGCAGCTCTGAAAAAATTTATCAGAGCTTTGTCCGAGCTCAGACCGGTACATTTTGATGATCTTTTGAGTTGTGTCTTGTAGCAAAGGTGTTGGGAAGTAATCACTTCCATTCATGCTGCGTTGGTCGAAGCTTGGTGATAGTACGAAGTCGTTATAGCCATTGAGCTTTGGAAGGTGATGTCCATTGGAAAATTGGCGATTTCCAGGGGGTGATAGCGCCCCGTTGTGTATTGCTGATGGGGCCATGCTGACTAGTGGTGTTGTCCAGAAAGTAAATCAATCTGAAGCTCCTTATTGTTGGTTTAAGTTCTAAGTAAGTGTTTGTACCGAGATTGAAGATAGTCCTGAACTGCTGTAAACTGAAATTTGTACACCAATAGAAAATTTAACATTCCAATGTCCTCATGCGAAGCAAGGTGGCGCCTCTAATCGAACCAGTCCCACACGTGTGAAGAATTATGGCGCTTGTATTCCACGTTATAAAGACAGAGTGATGACGCCGAAGCAGTTGTCGAAAGAGAGAATCGAAGTTGGAGCGATGAGACCTCACAAACGGTACTATATGTAGGAAATGGCATCAAACTTATCTGACTAAACTGCCCTTATCATCTCGGAAACACCGAATCTCAATGAAACTCGTGATACAACATTATTTTCCAACCCGGCAATTTAGAAAGGAAATCATTGTCAAAATTGCGAGCTAGATGGAAAGTAGAGATCAAGACCCCAGAGGAAAATGTGACTGATTTTTAGTCGGCGGGCTCGAATCATTGCTAGTCAAAGATCTCCATGCCGATGTTACGATACTCTCGCGAGCCATAACTATTACAGACTTCAGCTTCAAGAGCAGTTTCAGTGATTGCCAGTAAATTTATCCAAAATGTGTTTGTCCCCCGCGCAACGAGATTATGATACCCGGTTAGCCGAAGGATAAAAAAGGTACAGGAAAGACCTCACAGTAGTAATTTGGTGTTCTCGACGACAGCGCCTGGCATGACGGGTTAATTAAACACCACTTGGAATAGAGATGCAAGGCTGAGCAAGAGAGCTAGTCCATCGTATGATAAGAAATTATCATAATTTCTCAGTCGAATCGAACTAGAATATCAATGTCGACTATCGAAAATATGCAACGCAAGGTAGTAGCGTAGGTATTGGATAAATTGCCACACTACCGTGATCAGCCTCCAGCTAGCCACCCGTCTGCGTGGTCTATTTGTAGCGTTCCAAAAGAAAACCCCAGGAACTCGAAAGTTGGATATTGACTACTCGTTTATTGTATCAATGAGAAGTCATGTCCGCGTACTCCCAGTTCTCATTATCCGTTGTACTACGAAGCTATCCGGATGCACAATAAAATTGATGCCAATTAATGAATGCATCCCATCAAAGTTTTCCTTTTCACATGACTTCAGATGAGTTGAGAGATCTGCTACCGTCCCTGATTCATAAAAGCTTCTACTCATAACCCGAGTCATTTGGACTTAATGAACTGACACTGCAACATGTGTCGTTGGAAGATACCTTGAGCAGTCCAGGGTATGAAGGGTCGAAGTAAGGGTCTAAAGCAAGACCATTGAAGCTACCCCTGAACACCGCTAAGCCGGAAGAGGTCTAGAGCTTTGAATAGATCGGCCGGCTATATTGAAAATGTTACCGATCGCCACTAACGACAGTAGCATATCGTTTTAAAATCATTTCGGGCAAGTTTAAGAGAAATACGAACTAGAGAGCCATGAGAACCCCACATGGATGTCTACTTTCGGCATAAAATATGTGACAGCAATAAGGTCAATCATGCTCAGGATGTAATTATTCCTTTTGAGGTTCAGAGAGAGCCAGCTTTCAAAACATGGAAGTGGCTGTTGACGCCAATCACATCCTGTTGCAGATCAAATCCTTGATGGACCCCTAGCTTTCAGGACCAATTACTAAGGCATATATGACGACTCCTTCACCATCACTTGAATGACACGCTCTAGTCTCTGGAGTAGGGTTGCAAATTGTCGGTCAACCCAAGATGCACTGTTAGTTTTTATCGGTCAATTCGTTTTTACTATATCCATAGGTCACTTGAGGTAAAGTATTGAAAAAGATCTTTAACAAGGTGAATATTAATGTGTTGACCAAGTAATCTGCGTTGAAGTATTCAATAATTTTTAATGAATTCTATGTTCCTTCAAATACTCTTTAATGTACTTGAAATTGTAAGAAGGGTAGTAAAAAGACGAGATTCTAATGCATAGAATATTACGAAATGAACTTAATCGCGATACGATCGCTCATATGTATATTCGCGTATGTACATAATTATTGAAGATTTATCTTCTTAATACTTCTTTCGAATTATCAAATTCTTTAACAATCAATCAATATTAAAAGAGAAGATCCTAAGTCTTATCGAAAAGTAATCTTTTGTATTCTATCGTAGGTCATAGGCTAATAGTATGTAATGGAAGCTGGCTCTGGTTAACGACTAAAATGGATTATATAAGCAGTGTGACACGTGATATTAAAGAATCTGTATTGAATTGTAATCTCTCTTATTCTATATTCAAGGGAAAAAGGCCTCTTTTTATGCTTTTTCCTTCTAATTCAGTATTTCCGCTTTCATAAATCCCTTGTAGATCTCTTCCTAATCCGTCCATTCTTTCGAAATAAAGCCCCTTTTTGTTTTCTTTATTTTACAGCCGTTTTCGTATTTTATGGCCGTTTTCGAATTAATAGTCGTTTTCGGATTAATAGTCGCTTTCGTAAGCTTATAAGCGACGATCATATGATCTGATTATATAATAGGCTAATTTTAGATTGAATGCCTTTAAAAAGATATATATATTATATTATTTTTTAATTAAAACAATAGTATTTATACTTACTCGACAGATAAAACAAAGAACAAGATGAATAAAATCTCTATTTAGGAATTCAGCAATAATAGCTATTTCCTTTTCCAAAAGTATAATTAAATACAACTCATACAAACCCAATCGTCTTCTCAAATATAATTATCTTTTTTTCAAAATGGGATTTTAGGTAATTCTTTGTCAAGCGGCTCATTTATAACACATCCAATACCTACCCAATGAAAAAAGCATTCTGATTGATCTTTCTCAAACTCACAACAAACTTCATCTTCCAAAACCGCTGTACTCGAATCTAATAAGCTATAGACAAAAGCGACAGCCTCTACTCAAACATCAATTTGTTTCCTAGGATAGTCTTCAAAACTATCAACAAGAAGATCATACTCTCCTTTAATGGCAACAGTCAGTTCAAATTACTATCTATATTAAATGTGCCGATAACAAAGATCACGTGCAGACATCTGCTTGAAAATTACAGCTCTACTATACAGGAGTATATTCGGCTTTGGCTCTATTCAATTTTGTTACGCATCTGAAAAGCTGATACGTTAAGCCTAAAGACGAGGAGTCAGGGAGCTAGGGATAAACAGTAATTATGCACACAGGATTGAACAACCAGTTGTCTCATTTATATCAACGGAGTGTATGATTGGATTAATCGTTTTATAGGACAATATTTCGTTACGAGCCATACTCATTCATGAGACCATGTTTCAGCCTATCAAATGATTTATATATATACATATATTTAAAAGGGGGGTTACACAAGAGATGTCGACGACGCCTAGGAAGAAACGGAGAAAGGAGATCTGCACCACCACGGTGAGTAGGAGACAGGATACACATTACTAACTCATAGATTGGAAACAGAGCAGAATAAGGTTAATCGTCTTCGGAAATATAGATATCACAAACTATAATAAGTATAAAACAAAACGAAAGTCTATCAAAGTAGATTCGGAGGGCATTCGGAGAGAATAGATTTTTCTTTTTTATCTCATTCAGTCAAACAAACACATATAAACATATCCCGTACCCCGTATAGCTTAGCTATAGATGGACTGAATCTATTATAAATTTACTACTAATATTACAGACAGCGAGTCACTGGGTTAGTTAGAGTCTAATAAACAAGTATAAACGAATAATGTAGTAAAAACTGAAAAGGAAATACAAGAGAAGAAAATCTGATATCAGAGTTCTATTAATCTCTTCTTCAAAAGTTATTCTATGGTTAGCAAGTGAAGAGGAACATAGATACTGGTGGAATCTGATGTAGTACTTATTGTCACGGGTTCAAGACGTAGTTGTGTGGATGCATCCATACCCCAAACAGTCGGGGTCCCTCCGCCTTCTTCTTCACTCTTTATAGTATATCATCCATCTTATCTAGTAAATACCCCCCCTGCACTATGATATTTATCTACTTGCCATTAATAATGAAAGTGACGATATATACTAATGCACTAAATAATTACAACTATATAAATATATATAACCTTATGTATGTATGTGTATGATACAAACTCTAATTATAAAGACTATAAAGTCTAGTTATATAGATCATAAAACCTACTCATTAATCTAGATTATAAAGCATTATATGATCTATATAACCACATCTAATCTCAACAAATGTTAGATTTTTTCATTAAAAGATATTATCCCATAAACCAATTACTACTATAGTTGTTTTTGTTGTATATCAGCTCTTTCCGTCTTTACTTTGTTGACTAGGGTTTGTCTTTTGGCCATGCGCCGAAAGGCCTACTTATGTCTATCATTCCTAGCTTCAGCCAGTGAGCATCTCCTGTGGCTTTATGAACCATTTAGCTCTTTCAAGGAAACAAACGTATTGGCCATACGTCAGCACAATAGAAGTCAACATCACAAATCCTACCAATACACGTCTCCTCTTTAACTCCTCCTCAATTCTCCTACCCTAAATTCATATTCTTCCCCACCCCCACGGGCAATTTACACCTCAACATGACACCCGGTTTAACCCTCCGATCAACCCCTTCATTCCAATTCGGCTGATACGGCAACTGATTAACGTTCCAATAAATGTAACCATCAAACCCAACATTCGCGCTATCGGGCCAGATAATCCGCGGATCTCTTACAAATGGTACTGCTTGCGATATGGTGCTGTTCCAGATATAGATTGCGTTTGAGGAGGGCATGAGCATGTAGATGTTGCCCAGAGAATCGGATGCGAAGCCATTAGAATTCCCGCCACGTTGGCCAAGATTGTGGACGTTGTCCATTGCGAGTTTAGAGGCGATAGAGGAGGTAGATGGATTGCTTAGGAGGTAGGATGTGGGGATGCTGTAGAGAGTGTTAGATGTCAAAGGGGAATAGTAAAGGATCTGCAGTTCG